AAAGAAAATCCTATATCTTTAAGCATTTTTTACTCTAATATGTGTTATTAATGACCCATTAATTTTTCTTCTACTTTTTCAATAAATTATTTTTTGTAAATCAAATGAACAGTTTTCGGAAGGCTTGAAAACCTAGTATATAAGTTAGGTGACTCGGAAATTAAAGGCCAAATCCCACACCCTCAAGAGTCGTGAAATGGAGGACCAAGTTCCCTACTTCAACTTCCTTCTCACCCTTCTCTTCTTCATAGTCATGGTCTGGAGAATATGGAGAAAATCCGTAAACCATGGCTGCTCATCAAAGCTACCTCCTGGACCACGAAAACTCCCTCTGATAGGAAACCTCCACAATTTTGTTGGCATTCTTCCTCATCACTGCCTAAGAAACTTGGCCAAGAAATATGGCCCTATCATGCACCTACAACTTGGTGAAGTCTCGACCTTTGTCATCTCCTCAATTGAAACTGCTAAAGATGTGATGAAAACTCACGACCTCATTTTCGCTAGCAGGCCAAGTTTCCCTTCCCTGAAGTTACTTACTCATAACTTTACAAACATTGAACTTGCGCCATATGGAGACTACTGGAGACAGGTGAGGAAGATTTGCACAACAGAGCTGCTAAATCCAATGCGGGTGCGATCATTCAAAACAATCAGAGAAGAGGAGGTATTGAATTTAATTAGAGACATCTCAACAAAGGCAGGATCTGTGATCAACATCAGGGAGATGATGTATTCTACAACACTTTCCATCACATCCAGGGCGGCCTTTGGTGAGAAGTCCAAACGCCAAGAAGAATTCAAGCAACTTGCCTCGGACTAATTAGCATTGTTTGGAGGCTTGAATCTCGTTGATTTGTTCCCTTCCGTTAAGTTGCTCCATTTGATCCATGCAATGAGGCCTAAATCAAGGAGGCTGCATCACAAAGTAGATGAGATTCTTGAAAACATCATTATGGAACATAGAGCTAAGAGAGCTACCGGATGGACTGAAGCAGATGATCTTGTTTATATACTTTTGGATCTTCAGGACCATGGAGAACTTGAAATTCCCTTAACAACAGACAATATTAAAGCTGTTATCATGGTAAGTGTTTTTACTCACCTATAATCTGAAGATTGCTCAAGAAAACTAAATATTTCTATTTCAGGATTTATTTTCGGGTGGTGGTGACTCATCAAATACTGTTCTAGAATGGGCAATGGCAGAAATGCTGAAAAACCCCATAGTAATGGAAAAGGCACAGGGAAGGAAAACAAGTGCCATCAAATGGGCCAAATCGTCAACGGCACATGGAAATGGATCCTTGAATGGAGAAAAACTTTGTTCGAGTGGGAAGAGGAGGACGCAAAGGAACTTAAAAGGATGATTGAGAATGTGACGATCACACCTGGCCAACCGGACAAATGGGAATGGATTCATAGCATCAATGGTCATTACTCAACAAAAACAGCTTACTTGATGTTAGTAAAACAAAGAAGAGAGCTGGAGGAAGCTGAATTATTCAAAAGAATATGGAGCAAGATTCTCCCAAGCAAAGTTGCAGCTTTCAACTGGAAAGTAATGCTGGACAGAATTCCAACAAAGACAAACTTGCTCAAAAGAGGAATTGCCAAAGATACAGAAGATACAAAGTGTGTTCTGTGTGAGAACGAGGATGAAGACTCTAACCATCTGTTCTTGAATTGCAGTATAGCTAGAAGGTTGTGGCAGGCATGTGCAAATTGGTGGGGAATCACAGTCACGTTACACAAGGATTGTTGGAAAACCTTTCAAAATTTTGGAGCATGGACCACAAGCTCACGGATCTCAGAAGGATGGGATTGCATATGGAACTCATTTATTTGGTCAGTATGGATGGCCCGAAATGGAAAGGTGTTCCAGAATTTGAAGGTAAACTGGACCAAACTGTTTGAACTTATTCAATTGCGCTCTTTTGCATGGATTAAGGCTAGAAAAGCCAAATGTTACTTTAATCTCTCAGATTGGTTATCCAACCCTGCTTTATGTCTTTCTATTAACTGTGGGAGGAAAAAGTAGATGTAGAAGGGAGGGTTTGAAAGATGGGATTAACATTAGAAGGCTTTTATTCTGATTTTGTAAACGGGTTTGAGTACCCCTTGTACTCAGGTAGCAATTAAATTATTCTTTGTTGTTCAAAAAAAAAAAATGGAAAAGGCACAGGTAGAGGTGAGGCATGTCTTTGCTGGAAAAAAATGCGTTGATGAAGCAGGCCTCCATGAATTAAAGTACCTTAACCTTGTTATCAAAGAAACCTTGAGATTACACCCTGCTGCTCCTTTGCTGGCCCCAAGAGAAAGTAGAGAGAGATGTGAGATTGATGGATACGAGATACCTGAAAAATCCAGAGTCGTAATCAATGCATGGGCAATTGGAAGGGATCCCAAATATTGGACTGAAGCTGACAAGTTCTTTCCCAACAGATTCTTGGATAGCACAGCTGACTACAAGGGAAGTAACTATGAATTTATACCATTTGGTGCTGGGAGGAGGATGTGTCCTGGCATTTCATTTGCCACTGCCACTATTGAGCTCGCAGTTGCAAATTTACTGTACCATTTTGATTGGAAACTTCCTGATGGAAAGACGTCGGAAGATCTAGATATGACTGAGGTTTTCAGCACTGTGGGAAGAAAAAAAATTGATCTATGCGTAATTCCCATTCTTATCATCCCACAAATTGAGTGATACTTTTGTGGCATCAAAACACATGATTTCTTCATCTAGTGTGGATCAAGTTTCTCTTCATCGGTCTTCCTTTCTTGTCTGTAGACTTGTCGCAAGTTGGCATGAACTAGTACTCATTTCATCCTTCTCTACTTCTTGTGTGGTCTTTGTGCTGTCCGGAGTTCAAAGATTGTTCTGCCTTTAAATTCCATGGAACAGCTAGCTGGATTTGTAATTTTAATTACTTCTTGTATCTTATATGTTATGAAAACGCTTCTTGCCGATGATAAATAAAAGAAAGGGTTCATGTGTATGTCAGTAAATCTAACTGCGATGGCCTTCTACTGTTCAGTATCCATCCAGTGGTTTCTATTTGATCATTCCTTGAATGCTATACGTATGCAATCCAGGCTTCAACTTTGTGCAACCATCCAGGGGTTCATGTGTATGTCAGTATAATTTCAGTCAAATTTCTAGACTTCTTAAAGCTCCTAAAATCTATCACTTAACTAATATGCAGAAAGGGGAAAGTTTTAGGAGCAGAATGACATCTCTATTTTATTACAATATTGTAAACAGCATCTGTCTTCCAGTATCAGAACTCCTTAAAAAAATTCATGGTCTAGTCCACAACTCGCTGATTGCTGCTTAATTCGCTGATTGCTTCTCAACTGAGACTGGTGTTTCAGTTTAGCTGGTATATGCAACCAATGAAAGAATATGAAAATCTCCAAAATCACACTGAGATAATAGGACTGTTATTTAAGAGCTGTAGAGAGGCATGAAACAGTTTGTTAGAACCTGACCTTGAGATCCGGTCAACACATGCACCAAGTGCAGACATCTTCACCATAACCCTGACAAAGTCTATTCTAAAAGGTCAATTCATCATCCAAAGCAGAGAATATTAAGAACTACAAAACGATGAGACATCTTCACCATAAACCTGATTGGTACACAGAATCTAATCACCATTAAACTCAATCTATCGAGAATTATAAAATTCTATGGAACATCAAGAATTAACACTCATAGTCCAATTGAATATGGAAAAAAGTCACAATCTTGTTCACTATATTCTGGAGGACGAAAATGCAGAGAACCAATTTGAGAAAAAAACCCATAGGGGAAAAAGAAGACACATGCCATGAACTTCATACAGCATCAAGAACCACCAAACCCACATTGTAATTAAACAAGAAAAAACGTGGCTGTACCTCGAGGAAGCAGTCGTGGAAAAAGAGGAGCAAGAGAGAGCCACCGGAGCGTCCTTGTGCTGCGAGAAAATGTCAGCCAGTTGACTTAACGATGTCTTCAGCTGGTGAGAGCAGGCTTCGCGATAATAATCATATTCGAAAGTCAATGAAGGCGCATTTTCGCTCTTATCTTCGGAATCATCCAAGAAAAAGTCTACGAATTCTTCAAGACAAAGGAATCTTATGGGGGTTAATTTTCTCTGCGTCTAGTTTTCTGGGGTCATCCACGCCAGTATGGCAGCGATCGTGAGCCCCACGGTGGCCAACCAGCATCGCAATTCTCTTCTTTGGTTAAATGCTAATTTGGGTCTCTCAACTTTATACGTTTGCATTTTTTGGTCTCTTAACAATTTTTTGCACTCTTTTGATCCCTCAATTCTAAAAAATGCACAACGTTGATCCTTCCGTTAATTGGGGCTGTTAACTCCATCCATATGGCATTTTTTATATTTTTTTTGATGACATGGAAAAAACAACTTAAAAAGGTGATGGTATAGACAAAACATTATTCATTAAATTAAAATAGTTTTAAAATGACAATTTTACCCTTACTCCATCTTCTACCTTTGGTCTCCTCTTTGTTTCCGACTTACGTACCTTTCTCCATTCTCCACTGCTCTATTTCTCTTCCTCCTTCTTCTTCACCTTTCTCCATTCTTCATTGCTTTATTTCTCTTCCTTTTTCTTCTGCACCTTTCTCCATTCTTCACTGCTCTCTTTCTTTTCCTCCTTCTTCACCTCTCTTTCGCTCTTTACCCAAATCTGGGTTTCACGGAACCTAGTGACTTGGGTTTGTTTGAACCTAGTTTTGGGTTCCGCAGAACCCAACGATCTGGGTTCATTTGAACCCAGTTCTGAGTTCCATGGAACTTAGCAACATAGGTTTAAGGAACCTGAATTTTTGGGTTTTCAAACCCATGTTTATAGATTTTTTTCTTTCTTTGATGGATTTTTGTTTCGAATATTGTGGTTGTGGGATGGCAATTTAGTATTATAAAGGCTACAAAATTTTGTTTATATGTTTTGGTTTGGCTATTTCTTTTGTGAATATGTGATCATTAAGTTGGATTGAAGTTGTATGAATTTTCAAGGTTTTGATTTAGTTTTATTGCAGGTTAATCATCGGTGTAGAAAAAGAGAGAAATTTATTAAATCTTGGTTTTGGTTTTGTTGTTAGATTTCATTTTGATTTTGTACAATAAAAAAAGATTATGTTGGTTTAGAACAAGTTTAATTATAATTAATAGTTTTAATTATTTAAATTAATGAGTGTTTAATCTTAATATTACCATGTAAGCTTTTTCTTTTTGGTTGGATTATCCATGTTAGCACCTTTTTAAGTTGTGCTCTCCATGTCATAAAAAAATATTAAAAATGCCACGTGGACAGAAATAATAGTCCAAATTGACAAAATGACCAACGTTATGCACTTCTTAGAGTTAAAGGATCAAAAAAATACAAAAAAAATTGTTAAGGGACCAAAATGCCATGTGGACGGAGATAACAGCCCTAATTGACAGAAGAACCAACGTTATGCACTTCTTAGAGTTAAATAATCAAAAAAATGCAAAAAAAATTGTTAAAGGATGAAAAAAGTGCAAACTTATAAAGTTGAGGACCAAAATTAGCATTTAACCCTCTTCTTTTGCTTTTTATTTTTTTTGAGAGTGTAATTGCGCGAAATAGTTTAAGTGATGAACGAAAAAACATGATTGCTCCAACAACGAACTTTGACCGGAATACTTGCAAAATTCAATATTAGACTTCAAGCTAGATACTGTAACACTTAAATCAATAATATTTAGTTTATTTAAAGGGAAGTTCTATAGAGAGAAATAGAAATAACAAATGCATCTTAAACGTGGTAGTTGGAAAAATATTTATAGCCTTTTTAGGATTGCTTTCCACATGATAAATTCCCCTTCGTTAACTTTGAACCACTATCTTATTAAATAAATAAATAAAACAAACTTTGAACTACTACAATCTATGGTAGTTTTATGGAAGTCAATGAAATGCATTCGCCATCAGGGCATTTAAAGGCAATGTCAATTGTGATATCATCTGTCAGAAACGAAGTTGACTGGAAGTGGGGATGTTCAGCTGATCGGCCGTGCATCCAATGGATATGTGTTCGGCCATTCATCTGAAAGCAATGTTCGGATTAGTCCCTCACACTTCTGTTTCGCTAAGGTGATTTCTTTGAGAGAG